TTGCCTAAACATGTCACGCTTTCAGTAGACATCTACTTTTCTCGTTTTTAGCAGCTGTATGAATTCTTAAATGACCCACATTTCTGGAGGTGCAGGAAGCTGCATTGTGCAGTTTCTGTAGTGTAGTGGTTATCACGTTTGCCTAACACGCGAAAGGTTCACCGTTCGAAACCGGGCAGAAACTTCAGGATTTGATACATTTTTAGAACATTAAAGGGAAAGCATTGACATCAGGAAAGGATCAATAAATTCCGATCTCAAACAGCTATCAGACCCAAATGCATCTGCCCGGTTTCGAACCAGGGACCTTTCGCGAGTAAAGCGAACGTGATAACCACTACACTACAGAAACAGCGGTATGGCTGTACTTTGCCTAAAAATGTCACGCTTTCAGTAGACATCTACTTTTCTCGTTTTTAGCAGTTGTATGAATTCTTAAACGACCCAAATTTCTGGAGGTGCAGGAAGATGTATTGCGCAGTTTCGGTAGTGTAGTGGTTATCACGTTCGCCTAACATGTGAAAGGGCTCCGGTTCAAAACCGGACAGAAACATTGGGAATTTGATGCACTTTTAGAACATTAACGTGATTGTAGATGTTGATATGATATCAAACAAGGAAAGCGAAAACTTGCATTGACATCAGGAAAGTAACAATGAGTTTCGATCTCAAATAGCTATCAGACCCAAATGCTTCTGCCCGGTTTCGAACCAGGGACGTTTCGCGCGTAAAGCGAATGAGATAACCACTACACTACAGAAACAGCTGGATGGCTGTACTTTGCCTAATAATTTCGAGCTTTCAGTAGCCATCTAATTTTCTCGTTTTTAGCAGCTATATGAATTCTTAAATGACCCAAATTTCTGGAGGCGCAGGAAGCTGCGTTGTGCAGTTTCTGTAGTGTAGTGGTTATCACGTTCGGCTAACACGCGAATGGTCCCCTGTTTGAATCCGGGCAGAAACATATGGATTTTGATACATTTTTAGAATTTTTTAGAAGGGAAAGCCATTTGTATCTAGTAGATGTTGATATGATATCAAACAAGGAAAGCGAAAACTTGCCTTGACATCAGGAAAGTAACAATGAGTTCCGATCTCACCAGCTATCAGACCCAAATGTTTCTGCCCGGTTTCGAACCGGGGACCTTTCGCGTGTGAGGCGAACGTGATAACCACTACACTACAGAAACAGTTGTATATTTGTACTTTGCCTGAAAATGTCGTACTTTCAGCAGACATCTACTTTTCTCATTTTTAGCAGCTGTATGAATTCTTAAACGACCCAAATTTCTGGAGGTGCAGGAAGCTGCATTGTGCAGTTTCTGTAGTGTTGCGGTTATCACGTTCGCCTAACACGCGAAAGGGCTCCGGTTCAAAACCGGGCAGAAACATTGGGAATTTAATGCAATTTTATAACATTAACGTGATTGTAGATGTTGATATGATATCAAACAAGGAAAGCGAAAACTTGCATTGACGTCAGGAAAGTAACAATGAGTTCCGATCTCAACCAGCTATCAGACCCAAATGTTTCTGCCCGGTTTCGAACCCGGGAACCTTTCGCGTGTGAGGCAAACGTGATAACCACTACACTACAGAAACAGCGGTATGGCTGTACTTTGCCTAAAAATGTCACGCTTTCAGTAGACATCTACTTTTCTCGTTTTTAGCAGCTGTATGAATTCTTAAATGACCCAAATTTCTGGAGATGCAGGAAGCTGCATTGTGCAGTTTCTGTAGTGTAGTGGTTATCACGTTTGCCAAACACGCGAAAGGTCCCCGGTTCGAAACCGGGCAGAAACTTCAGGATTTGATACATTTTTAGAACATTAAAGGGAAAGCCATTTGTATCTAGCAGATTTTGACATGATATCAAACAAGGAAAGCGAAAACTTGCATTGACATCAGGAAAGGATCAATAAATTCCGATCTCAAACAGCTATCAGACCCAAATGCTTCTGCCCGGTTTCGAACCAGGGACCTTTCGCGTGTAAAGCGAACGTGATAACCACTACACTACAGAAACAGCTGCGACTGTGTTCTACGCCTAAAAATCTCGTGCTTTCAGTAGACATCTAATTTTGGCGTTTTTAGCAGCTATATGAATTCTTAAAGGGGCACTTGGCAACTTTTTCAACTTAATAAACCCGTCTGGAAATCATTTGGATGGTTAAATGGTCTGTTCCGGTGTTAACGGTGACTGTCCCCGCTCCCCCCGGCGCCCCCCGGTGGAAAACCAGCCTTGCAACTTTGGGACTACCGTCCCGGTAAATTGGAAATGGGAAGTATCGCGAGAAGCGAGAACGAGCGAGAAACACAAACTGCTTTACGGTAATTCAACGTAAACACACACGCCCCCCTCAATAACGGTTAATCACGCCGGCTATACATGTCAGTGTTCTATGATACAGTGTATAATGTATTACCCACCTCGGTAGACATCGCGCCACACGAAAAAACCCGGCAACAAATGCACATGAGCAGCGGTAGAAAGGGGGAGGAGGGTGCCGCAAGTGAGTTTTTTTTACGACAGTGTTGTGTAATATACGTCCCAGACCTGTAGGGGGAGCTCGTTGAGAAAACATGCGACCACAAAAGTGAAAACCAGCGAAGAAATGGCCAGAGTTGCCAAGTGCCCCTTTAAACGACCCAAATTTCTGGAGGTGCAGGAAGCTGCGTTGTGCAGTTTCTGTCGTGTAGTGGTTATCACCATTGCCTAATACGCGAATGGTCCCCTGTTTGAATCCGGGCAGAAACATCTGGAATTTGATACATTTTTAGAACATTAACGGGAAGGCCATTTGTACCTAGTAAATGTTGACATGATATCAAACAAGAAAATCCAAAACCTGCATTGACATCAGGAAACGATCAATGAGTTCCGATCTCAACCAGCTATCAGACCCAAACGTTTCTGCCGGTTTCGAACCTGGGAACTTTCGCATGTGAGGCAAACGTGATAACCACTACACTACAGAAACAGCAGTATGGCAGTTCTTTGCCTAAAAATGTCACGCTTTCAGTAGACATCTACTTTTCTCGTTTTTAGCAGCTGTATGAATTCTTAAATGACCCAAATTTCTGGAGGTGCAGGAAGATGTATTGTGCAGTTTCTGTAGTGTAGTGGTTATCACGTTCGCCTAACACGCGAAAGGTCCCTGGTTCGAAACCGGGCAGAAACAGTTGGAAATTGATGCAATTTTAGAACTTTAACGTGAAAGCAATTGGGAGATGTTGACACGATATCAAACTAGGAAAGCCAAAATCTGCATTGACATCAGGAAAGGATCAATGAGTTCCAATCTCAACCAGCTATCAGACCCAATTGTTTCTGCCCGGTTTCGAACCAGGGACGTTTCGCGCGTAAAGCGAATGAGATAACCACTACACTACAGAAACAGCGGTATGGCTGTACTTTGCCTAAAAATGTCACGCTTTCAGTAGACATCTACTTTTCTCGTTTTTAGCAGTTGTATGAATTCTTAAACGACCCAAATTTCTGGAGGTGCAGGAAGATGTATTGCGCAGTTTCTGTAGTGTAGTGGTTATCACGTTCGCCTAACACGCGAAAGGGCTCTGGTTCAAAACCGGACAGAAACATTGGGAATTTGATGCACTTTTAGAACATTAACGTGATTGTAGATGTTGATATGATATCAAACAAGGAAAGCGAAAACTTGCATTGACATCAGGAAAGTAACAATGAGTTTCGATCTCAAATAGCTATCAGACCCAAATGCTTCTGCCCGGTTTCGAACCAGGGACGTTTCGCGCGTAAAGCGAATGAGATAACCACTACCCTACAGAAACAGCTGGACGGCTGTACTTTGCCTAATAATTTCGAGCTTTCAGTAGCCATCTAATTTTCTCGTTTTTAGCAGCTATATGAATTCTTAAATGACCCAAATTTCTGGAGGCGCAGGAAGCTGCGTTGTGCAGTTTCTGTAGTGTAGTGGTTATCACGTTCGGCTAACACGCGAATGGTCCCCTGTTTGAATCCGGGCAGAAACATATGGATTTTGATACATTTTTAGAATTTTTTAGAAGGGAAAGCCATTTGTATCTAGTAGATGTTGATATGATATCAAACAAGGAAAGCGAAAACTTGCCTTGACATCAGGAAAGTAACAATGAGTTCCGATCTCACCAGCTATCAGACCCAAATGTTTCTGCCCGGTTTCAAACCGGGGACCTTTCGCGTGTGAGGCGAACATGATAACCACTACACTACAGAAACAGTTGTATATTTGTACTTTGCCTGAAAATGTCGTACTTTCAGCAGACATCTACTTTTCTCATTTTTAGCAGCTGTATGAATTCTTAAACGACCCAAATTTCTGGAGGTGCAGGAAGCTGCATTGTGCAGTTTCTGTAGTGTTGCGGTTATCACGTTCGCCTAACACGCGAAAGGGCTCCGGTTCAAAACCGGGCAGAAACATTGGGAATTTAATGCAATTTTATAACATTAACGTGATTGTAGATGTTGATATGATATCAAACAAGGAAAGCGAAAACTTGCATTGACGTCAGGAAAGTAACAATGAGTTCCGATCTCAACCAGCTATCAGACCCAAATGTTTCTGCCCGGTTTCGAACCCGGGAACTTTTCGCGTGTGAGGCGAACGTGATAACTACTACACTACAGAAACAGCGGTATGGCTGTACTTTGCCTAAAAATGTCACGCTTTCAGTAGACATCTACTTTTCTCGTTTTTAGCAGCTGTATGAATTCTTAAATGACCCAAATTTCTGGAGATGCAGGAAGCTGCATTGTGCAGTTTCTGTAGTGTAGTGGTTATCACGTTTGCCAAACACGCGAAAGGTCCCCGGTTCGAAACCGGGCAGAAACTTCAGGATTTGATACATTTTTAGAACATTAAAGGGAAAGCCATTTGTATCTAGCAGATTTTGACATGATATCAAACAAGGAAAGCGAAAACTTGCATTGACATCAGGAAAGGATCAATAAATTCCGATCTCAAACAGCTATCAGACCCAAATGCTTCTGCCCGGTTTCGAACCAGGGACCTTAAGCGAACGTGATAACCACTACACTACAGAAACAGCTGCGACTGTGTTCTACGCCTAAAAATCTCGTGCTTTCAGTAGACATCTAATTTTGGCGTTTTTAGCAGCTACATGAATTCTTAAAAGGGCACTTGGCAACTTTTTCAACTTAATAAACCCGTCTGGAAATCATTTGGATGGTTAAATGGTCTGTTCCGGTGTTAACGGTGACTGTCCCCGCTCCCCCCGGCGCCCCCCGGTGGAAAACCAGCCTTGCGACTTTGGGACTACCGTCCCGGTAAATTGGAAATGGGAAGTATCGCGAGAAGCGAGAACGAGCGAGAAACACAAACTGCTTTACGGTAATTCAACGTAAACACACACGCCCCCCTCAATAACGGTTAATCACGCCGGCTATACATGTCAGTGTTCTATGATACAGTGTATAATGTATTACCCACCTCGGTAGACATCGCGCCACACGAAAAAACCCGGCAACAAATGCACATGAGCAGCGGTAGAAAGGGGGAGGAGGGTGCCGCAAGTGAGTTTTTTTTACGACAGTGTTGTGTAATATACGTCCCAGACCTGTAGGGGGAGCTCGTTGAGAAAACATGCGACCACAAAAGTGAAAACCAGCGAAGAAATGGCCAGAGTTGCCAAGTGCCCCTTTAAACGACCCAAATTTCTGGAGGTGCAGGAAGCTGCGTTGTGCAGTTTCTGTCGTGTAGTGGTTATCACCATTGCCTAATACGCGAATGGTCCCCTGTTTGAATCCGGGCAGAAACATCTGGAATTTGATACATTTTTAGAACATTAACGGGAAGGCCATTTGTACCTAGTAAATGTTGACATGATATCAAACAAGAAAATCCAAAACCTGCATTGACATCAGGAAACGATCAATGAGTTCCGATCTCAACCAGCTATCAGACCCAAATGTTTCTGCCGGTTTCGAACCTGGGAACTTTCGCATGTGAGGCAAACGTGATAACCACTACACTACAGAAACAGCAGTATGGCAGTTCTTTGCCTAAAAATGTCACGCTTTCAGTAGACATCTACTTTTCTCGTTTTTAGCAGCTGTATGAATTCTTAAATGACCCAAATTTCTGGAGGTGCAGGAAGATGTATTGTGCAGTTTCTGTAGTGTAGTGGTTATCACGTTCGCCTAACACGCGAAAGGTCCCTGGTTCGAAACCGGGCAGAAACAGTGGGAAATTGATGCAATTTTAGAACTTTAACGTGAAAGCAATTGGGAGATGTTGACACGATATCAAACTAGGAAAGCCAAAATCTGCATTGACATCAGGAAAGGATCAATGAGTTCCAATCTCAACCAGCTATCAGACCCAATTGTTTCTGCCCGGTTACGAACCAGGGACCTTTCGCGTGTAAAGCGAATGTGATTACCACTACACTACAGAAACAGCGGTATGGCTGTACTGTGCCTAAAAATGTCACGCTTTCAGTAGACATCTACTTTTCTCGTTTTTCGCAGTTGTATGAATTCTTAAACGACCCAAATTTCTGGAGGTGCAGGAAGATGTATTGCGCAGTTTCTGTAGTGTAGTGGTTATCACGTTCGCCTAACACGCGAAAGGGCTCTGGTTCAAAACCGGACAGAAACATTGGGAATTTGATGCACTTTTAGAACATTAACGTGATTGTAGATGTTGATATGATATCAAACAAGGAAAGCGAAAACTTGCATTGACATCAGGAAAGTAACAATGAGTTTCGATCTCAAATAGCTATCAGACCCAAATGCTTCTGCCCGGTTTCGAACCAGGGACGTTTCGCGCGTAAAGCGAATGAGATAACCACTACCCTACAGAAACAGCTGGATGGCTGTACTTTGCCTAATAATTTCGAGCTTTCAGTAGCCATCTAATTTTCTCGTTTTTAGCAGCTATATGAATTCTTAAATGACCCAAATTTCTGGAGGCGCAGGAAGCTGCGTTGTGCAGTTTCTGTAGTGTAGTGGTTATCACGTTCGGCTAACACGCGAATGGTCCCCTGTTTGAATCCGGGCAGAAACATATGGATTTTGATACATTTTTAGAATTTTTTAGAAGGGAAAGCCATTTGTATCTAGTAGATGTTGATATGATATCAAACAAGGAAAGCGAAAACTTGCCTTGACATCAGGAAAGTAACAATGAGTTCCGATCTCACCAGCTATCAGACCCAAATGTTTCTGCCCGGTTTCGAACCGGGGACCTTTCGCGTGTGAGGCGAACGTGATAACCACTACACTACAGAAACAGTTGTATATTTGTACTTTGCCTGAAAATGTCGTACTTTCAGCAGACATCTACTTTTCTCATTTTTAGCAGCTGTATGAATTCTTAAACGACCCAAATTTCTGGAGGTGCAGGAAGCTGCATTGTGCAGTTTCTGTAGTGTTGCGGTTATCACGTTCGCCTAACACGCGAAAGGGCTCCGGTTCAAAACCGGGCAGAAACATTGGGAATTTAATGCAATTTTATAACATTAACGTGATTGTAGATGTTATGATATCAAACAAGGAAAGCGAAAACTTGCATTGACGTCAGGAAAGTAACAATGAGTTCCGATCTCAACCAGCTATCAGACCCAAATGTTTCTGCCCGGTTTCGAACCCGGGAACTTTTCGCGTGTGAGGCGAACGTGATAACTACTACACTACAGAAACAGCGGTATGGCTGTACTTTGCCTAAAAATGTCACGCTTTCAGTAGACATCTACTTTTCTCGTTTTTAGCAGCTGTATGAATTCTTAAATGACCCAAATTTCTGGAGATGCAGGAAGCTGCATTGTGCAGTTTCTGTAGTGTAGTGGTTATCACGTTTGCCAAACACGCGAAAGGTCCCCGGTTCGAAACCGGGCAGAAACTTCAGGATTTGATACATTTTTAGAACATTAAAGGGAAAGCCATTTGTATCTAGCAGATTTTGACATGATATCAAACAAGGAAAGCGAAAACTTGCATTGACATCAGGAAAGGATCAATAAATTCCGATCTCAAACAGCTATCAGACCCAAATGCTTCTGCCCGGTTTCGAACCAGGGACCTTAAGCGAACGTGATAACCACTACACTACAGAAACAGCTGCGACTGTGTTCTACGCCTAAAAATCTCGTGCTTTCAGTAGACATCTAATTTTGGCGTTTTTAGCAGCTATATGAATTCTTAAAGGGGCACTTGGCAACTTTTTCAACTTAATAAACCCGTCTGGAAATCATTTGGATGGTTAAATGGTCTGTTCCGGTGTTAACGGTGACTGTCCCCGCTCCCCCCGGCGCCCCCCGGTGGAAAACCAGCCTTGCGACTTTGGGACTACCGTCCCGGTAAATTGGAAATGGGAAGTATCGCGAGAAGCGAGAACGAGCGAGAAACACAAACTGCTTTACGGTAATTCAACGTAAACACACACGCCCCCCTCAATAACGGTTAATCACGCCGGCTATACATGTCAGTGTTCTATGATACAGTGTATAATGTATTACCCACCTCGGTAGACATCGCGCCACACGAAAAAACCCGGCAACAAATGCACATGAGCAGCGGTAGAAAGGGGGAGGAGGGTGCCGCAAGTGAGTTTTTTTTACGACAGTGTTGTGTAATATACGTCCCAGACCTGTAGGGGGAGCTCGTTGAGAAAACATGCGACCACAAAAGTGAAAACCAGCGAAGAAATGGCCAGAGTTGCCAAGTGCCCCTTTAAACGACCCAAATTTCTGGAGGTGCAGGAAGCTGCGTTGTGCAGTTTCTGTCGTGTAGTGGTTATCACCATTGCCTAATACGCGAATGGTCCCCTGTTTGAATCCGGGCAGAAACATCTGGAATTTGATACATTTTTAGAACATTAACGGGAAGGCCATTTGTACCTAGTAAATGTTGACATGATATCAAACAAGAAAATCCAAAACCTGCATTGACATCAGGAAACGATCAATGAGTTCCGATCTCAACCAGCTATCAGACCCAAATGTTTCTGCCGGTTTCGAACCTGGGAACTTTCGCATGTGAGGCAAACGTGATAACCACTACACTACAGAAACAGCAGTATGGCAGTTCTTTGCCTAAAAATGTCACGCTTTCAGTAGACATCTACTTTTCTCGTTTTTAGCAGCTGTATGAATTCTTAAATGACCCAAATTTCTGGAGGTGCAGGAAGATGTATTGTGCAGTTTCTGTAGTGTAGTGGTTATCACGTTCGCCTAACACGCGAAAGGTCCCTGGTTCGAAACCGGGCAGAAACAGTTGGAAATTGATGCAATTTTAGAACTTTAACGTGAAAGCAATTGGGAGATGTTGACACGATATCAAACTAGGAAAGCCAAAATCTGCATTGACATCAGGAAAGGATCAATGAGTTCCAATCTCAACCAGCTATCAGACCCAATTGTTTCTGCCCGGTTACGAACCAGGGACCTTTCGCGTGTAAAGCGAATGTGATAACCACTACACTACAGAAACAGCGGTATGGCTGTACTTTGCCTAAAAATGTCACGCTTTCAGTAGACATCTACTTTTCTCGTTTTTAGCAGTTGTATGAATTCTTAAACGACCCAAATTTCTGGAGGTGCAGGAAGATGTATTGCGCAGTTTCTGTAGTGTAGTGGTTATCACGTTCGCCTAACACGCGAAAGGGCTCTGGTTCAAAACCGGACAGAAACATTGGGAATTTGATGCACTTTTAGAACATTAACGTGATTGTAGATGTTGATATGATATCAAACAAGGAAAGCGAAAACTTGCATTGACATCAGGAAAGTAACAATGAGTTTCGATCTCAAATAGCTATCAGACCCAAATGCTTCTGCCCGGTTTCGAACCAGGGACGTTTCGCGCGTAAAGCGAATGAGATAACCACTACACTACAGAAACAGCTGGATGGCTGTACTTTGCCTAATAATTTCGAGCTTTGGTAATTTTCTCGTTTTTAGCAGCTATATGAATTCTTAAATGACCCAAATTTCTGGAGGCGCAGGAAGCTGCGTTGTGCAGTTTCTGTAGTGTAGTGGTTATCACGTTCGGCTAACACGCGAATGGTCCCCTGTTTGAATCC